GAAAAGGGGAAAGTCGAAGGAGAAAAGGGGGAAGAGGAGAATAATGGGAAGGGAAAAGAAAGAAAGGGGGATGATATTATAAAAATGTTTTTTTTTTACCGCGAAAGGAGCGGGGGGCATGCAATTCTGTAGTGTGCATAATATGGGGTCTTTCTTGTCAGGCGTGTAGCCCCCCCCCCAAAAAAAAAGAACAAGAAGAGCAAAAAAGGAGATGGAAAAAAGGGGGGGGGAAGGAGAGAATTTTTGTGAGTTAAAGGAGAAAGGGAAAAAAATGAAAGATAATTAAACAACGATAGAAGAGAGGTGCGAGAGCATGAGGAATTGCATTTCAGTTAAAAGAATAATGGGGTAACAACAGTGGCGGATCCAGGGTTATTGCCCCCCCCCCCCCCTAGAGAAAAAAATCATGTCAAAACACGTAATTTTTTCCTTTTGGGGGGGGAGTGCAAATTTTTAAATTTTCGAGGACCAAAACAAAAAAAATGTGCTCACTACACCCAGGCGCAGATTCAGGATTTCTTAGGGGAAGGGGCCCAACTTTTTTATTTTTTGCTCCCGAAAATATGAAAATCGCGCCGTCCGAAAAGTCCGCGTTTCGCTTCAGACATGGATTAAAAATAATAATTTAATGGAAAGTCAAAGCTTCGCGCGGGAGGGGAGAAACGGAATTCAAACGAGGTTTTAGAGTCAAGAACGGTACAACGAATCGTCTTCTTTCTCTAATAAATTAACGAAACGTTATGCTCTATCATGTAAATAATTATGTTCATGTTTATTCAGGGCCCCATGGAAGACCCCCTTCTTATTGGTGAATGGGCTACCCTGTCAAAAGATTAGAAATAAATAAATACAATTAAAAAAAAGCTTCAGTGCTTCGCGCGGGATGGGCAAAAATGAATTCAGACAAGGGTTAAGAGTCAAGAACAGTACAACGAATCGTCTTCTTCCTCTAATAAATTCATTAAACGTCAAAGCATTCGCGCTTCGCGCGGGATGGGCGAAAATGAATTCAGACAAGGATAAAGAGTAAAAATTAAATGAAACGTCAAAGCTTTGGTTAGAAATCTGAATTCAGACAAGGACAATGTACAACGAATCGTCTTCTTTCTCTAAAAATTTAATGAAATGTGGAAGCTTCCGCGCTTCGCGCGGGATGGGCGGAACTGAATTCTGACAAGGATTAAGAGTCGAGCACGTTACACCAAATCGTCTTCTTTCTCTAATAAATTAATGAAACGTTATGCTTTATCATGTAAATAATTATGTTCATGTTTATTCAGGGCCCCATGGAAGACCCCCTTCTTATTGGTGAATGGGCTACCCTGTCAAAAGATTAGAAATAAATAAATACAATTAAAAAAAGCTTCAGTGCTTCGCGTGGGATGGGCAAAAATGAATTCAGACAAGGGTTAAGAGTCAAGAACAGTACAACGAATCGTCTTCTTTCTCTAATAAATTCATGAAACGTCAAAGCATTCGCGCTTCGCGCGGGATGGGCGAAAATGAATTCAGACAAGGATAAAGAGTAAAAATTAAATGAAACGTCAAAGCTTGGGTTAGAAATCTGAATTCAGACAAGGACAAGATACAACGAATCGTCTTCTTTCTCTAAAAATTTAATGAAATATGGAAGCTTCCGCGCTTCGCGCGGGATGGGCGGAACTGAATTCAGACAAGGATTAAGAGTCGAGCACGTTACACCAAATCGTCTTCTTTCTCTAATAAATTAATGAAATGTTATGCTTTATCATGTAAATAATTATGTTCATGTTTATTCAGGGCCCCATGGAAGACCCCCTTCTTATTGGTGAATGGGCTACCCTGTCAAAAGATTAGAAATAAATAAATACAATTAAAAAAAAGCTTCAGTGCTTCGCGCGGGATAGGCGAAAATGAATTCAGACAAGGATTAAGAGTCAAGAACGGTACAACGAATCGTCTTCTTTCTCTAATAAATTCATGAAACGTCAAAGCATTCGCGCTTCGCGCGGGATGGGCGAAAATGAATTCAGACAAGGATAAAGAGTAAAAATTAAATGAAACGTCAAAGCTTGGGTTAAAAATCTGAATTCAGACAAAGACAAGATACAACGAATCGTCTTTTTCCTCTAAAAATTAAATGAAATGTGGAAGCTTCCGCGCTTCCCTAGGGATGGGCGGAACTGAATTCAGACAAGGATTAAGAGTCGAGCACGTTACATTAAATCGTCTTCTTTCTCTAACAATTAAATGAAACGTCATAGCTTCTGCGCTTCGCGCGAGAGGGGCGAAACTGAATTCAGACAAGGATTAAGAGTTGAAAACGGTACACAGAGTCGTCTTCTTTGTCTTATAATTAAAGGCACACTGCCATACTTGTAGCTCCTTGATCCCTCTATATAGAAAACTTCCCCAATCGGTGCCTGTTGGTCCCCATGATCCTCTTTTTCTTATGTTAAATGAGAGCTGAGTTAATGAGATAGCCACCTGTCACAGTGACCTCGATGGCTCTCTGTGTGGTCTAATCCCTTCTGGCCCAGTAGTGGTGACGGTCTTTAAATGAAACGTCATAGCTTCTGCGCTTCGCGCGGGAGGAGCGAAACGAGATTTAAGAGTCGTTAATCGTCTTCTTTTTCTAATAATTTAATGAAGCGTCAATGTTTCCGCGCTTCGCGCGGGTGAGGGGAAACTGAAAAATAACTTAGCTCCTGTCCCCGGTTTATAGGGTTAAATTTGTAGACTTTGGGACTTAGTCATTAATACATTTGTCGGTAATTGGTGGCTAGTTTTGTCGGTAATCGGTGGCCTATACACCCCCCCCCCCCACTGAAAAAAAAGTCTAGCGACGCCCCTGATAACAACACAATTCATACACTCGAGATAATTTTTGCAAGTTCTACTGGCAAAATACCAGACCAATGTCTTTGTGCATTGTGCAGCAACGAAGCATATACGACATATCTCGCGAGGTGACAGATCACTTTTCTATAACTTCTAACCAATCAGAAGGCCTCTTTTTTTTCCAGGAAGTGCCGATGGACATTAAATGCGCCAAATGTGGTTCTCAAATTGCAAAAAAAACCTACTCTTGGATGGGGTAGGAAAAAGTAATTTTACTTCATATTACTCCAGGAAGTGCCTGAAAATGCGCCTAATGTGGTTTTAAAATTGCAAATGCTTTCTACTCTAGGAGGGGGTACCACCCCCGCATGGTCGCTTGATCGTTCCATCGGTTTTCATATATTTCGATCACCCCATGCGATTGTGTGCCCCCTCCCCACGGCCCCCGGAAAGAAAATCCTGGATCCACCACTGTAATTAACAGACTATTGGACGAATATAAATGTCTTTAGCAGTTATTTGAATGAATCGACCGTCGGGGCGTTACTTATACAGGGTGGGTGACCGTGGTCCATAATATATGCTCAGGGATCTTTCGCCGTATAGAATTGAGTATAGGTGCGTGGGACTATAGGAGACTAACATATGGATGTATTATCTCAAATAGATAATTATGAAACGGCTTTGCCGTGGAGTATTTTGTATGTGAGAAGTAGGACTAATTTGAAGTCTATTCGTTTTTGACAGGTAACCAGTGGAGACGAAGGAGGATGGGTGATATGTGCTCCAGGCGCGTACACAGGGGTTCGGGGGGGGGGGGGGGGTTCGGGGGGTTAAACCCCCCCCCTTTGGTATTTTTTTTGGTGAAAACCCCCCTAAATTTCCCTAAAATCCCCCCCTTTTGGATTTTTTTTTTTTTTTTTTTTGCTCCCCCAACGGAGCAAAATGTCAAATTTTCAAATTTCGATACAAAAAAAAAAAAAAAGTGTCCTCTTACCACCCCCCCCCCCGCTTATTCAGCGGTCGCCTGAGTCGTTGCGATTTTTTTGGGACCAAAAAGAAAAAAAAGTGACCTCTTACCCCCCCCCCCCCCCCCGCTTATTCAGCGGCTGGCTGAGTCGTTGCGAAATTTTCGGCCCGATTTATAAATGTTAAACCCCCCCCCCCCTTGAAAAAATCCTACGTACGCGCCTGATGTGCTCTGTCCATAAACACGAAGAAGGGGCGCTTTTCATAATTTATACTGGGGGGGGGGGGTCACTACTCTTCAGGACCTAAATTCATAATATGAAATGAGGGTTGCAATATTCATAATACGTGAAAATAATGATTAGCGACCATCTTCTCGTATAAAGAATAGAAAAGCGGCCTTCTTCTCGTATTATGAATAGGGACCCCAATGAATAACGACCCGGATTAAGTATCATGAATAGCGGTCCATATACGGAGTGACCCTCATGGGTCCTTATGAATAGCGGTCCTTATCAAAAGCGAGCGGACCCGCTTAATTTAAGTGAGCACTAATTGTTTTTCTTTTTGCCCCCGAGATTTTAAAATCGCGCCGACCGATATTTCGCTGAGTAGGGGCCCGGGGGGGGGGGGGGGAGGTTAAGGAGCATTGTTTTATTTATTTTTACTCAGCACGCCCCCTTTAGCAAAAGAAAGCAAACATTGAGGGGGGTTAACCCTCAAAATACCCCCCACCTCCCGTGTACATGTACGTGCCTGCATAAAAAACATTGTGAAATTATGAAAAATGAAGTAAATACAAAATAGGCCATTTTGTATTTATGTTCGTTTATCAAATTATAAAAAGCTTGGTTACAATCATGTTTCAATATGTTTTAACTATTTTGGTTTGGGCTAGGGTGTGCCGCTTAAGCCTCGAAACCCCTACCCATTTTAGGGATCATTTTTCTCGAAAAATACCCATTTTCCACAATTTTCAGGTGTTTTGGGGTGTTTGCATGAATTTTGAAAAAAACGGACCTATCCTAATGGTATTGAGTGGGACCCATGTTTGGGGAATTTTTGTGAAAAAGTTACCCATTAGAGCGGCGCACCCCTGTATGTCCTAATCTATGAGTAACCCCACCCCCCCCCCCCCCCCCCCCCTGGCTCAGGACAAATGCTTTTTGAGAAAATACAGTACATACACAAAAAACACGGCATAGCGCATGCGCATTTTGCGAGAGAATCTGCGAATTCAACATGGCGAGTTTTGTCACAAGCGAAGAGGCCTGCAAAAGCTGGGAGAAAAGTGGCAGAAATGAGTTGTAAGTTGTCTATAAGATCGGACATTCCAATTTTTGTTTCAAGTGAAAAATATTAGCAATACCTTTCGTAATAAAAATGATGGAGTTCTTGCCATGTCTGAAGGGGAAATCGAAATTTTCAATGTGTATGAACTATCGAGCAGATGAATACCCACCTTGATCGCAGCCGCCTCTAGGCTCGCACTATATCTAGATGGCACTACTGACTGCAAGACGAGCGGGCAGCACTGCCGCCACACATGCACTGCACGACTTCATGTGATGTCACCCTGTCTGAGCTAACGTCTGTGGGCTAAGGAAGATGAGCTTGGTGAAATTCGACAGCATCGTCATTGGGTCTGAGTAAGACCTAAATTCTATCAGAGCGGTTTGGTATGGAGTATGGATAAATGCGATAAGCAGAGAAGTCTCCATCTGATTCTGAGCTGAGCGCAGGATGAGCACAACCAAAGCAAAGGCAAAGCTCCTCTTTCAAAGTTTCAATGTTTGATCCAAAAGCTGATTCTCTCACTCTGAGCTCTGCCCAAGTTTGAATTCTGTTCACGATCACGTCTACCTGATTAAGTGAGTGGCTTAGCAGAGACAGAGTTCAGGCATGCACCTCGACATTGTCAATCACTCAATGAGAGAGTTGCATTATGAAGGAGAGGGTGTCAAAAGCAAAGCATCTTGTTCCAGAAATGTTGATTGTTTGGCTGCAGTATCATGGAAATTGGTTAACGTAGGCATCTACTCTGTAGCTGGCTGAAGGCTGTTCTAAAAATGCTTATCAAAATGAGCTTGTTCAGAGAGCTTCAGCCAGAACTGCTTTTCAATGGCATCAACAACACCCTTGTCTTCCATATGAAAAGTGAATCAAAGGGAAGAGAATACGAATGGGGCTTTTCTTTGTAAAAGAAAGGAAGGGGGGAATGTCACATTCTACTACTGTCTACTACTAGTACTAAGAATCAATCTAAGATCTGTCTTCTAACTTCCCAGATCCAAAAAAGCTTCACCATCCTTCATAGTTGTGAGCATCTTTCTTCAGTTCTGAGCATCATACATGTAGTTGAACCCAGGCCAGACCAAGTGACTGCACACAAACGTGATTTCATACTGATGCAGGGAATGATAAAGCCTTTTCCTTAAGGCTGGGACATGAGACGGGATGCGATGAAGACTGTGAATACATTCTTGTGAAATAAACTATAAATCGCCTAGGAAATAGTTTGTCAACAAAGTGATTAGAGGGAAAAGCTACAACCAGGTGTATTTTCAACAGCAACATTCTAATAGAGCTGATTCATCAGAAATTTTGATGGGAAAGTTGATAAACTTGATAACTTATAGCTTCTGAACAACGATACGCCAGCCCTTCTACCTTTAGGACAGTCACATCCTCCATCAGATTTCAGTTTTGCCTGTCAACTACACACTCTTGTAAGAAGACCATGTCTGTTAACATTTGACATTTGCACATATGGTAACTGAGGAGATGGCAGATGTCCTCTGGTATGCCCTTAGCCAATGCTGTAACTTCCTCCTTCAAGATCGAAGCCATTCTGAATTTCCATATGCACAGCAGGAAAATGTAACTGTAAGATGAGCTGCCGGCTTCCTGTCAATTTGATGCAGACTGGACACCTACATGTAGGCTTAGAGTCTTCGAAAAGCAGATCTGAACTTCAAGATGTCGAGCTCCACAACGAAATGGGCAACACCACACAACTCACTCTTACACTTCTACTTGTACTTCTACGTTGGTACTTGACAGGATCCATCAGTCAGGATATGTACATGTATGTCTACTACAGCATGGATAATGCTTTCCTCAGAATCTGCAGTTTATTTTGTTCAGTTGACAAAGAAGCTTTGGTTAAATATGTTTGGATTGATGTCCAGCCAAACTGAATGGAGGAACTATTTTATTGTGGATTTCAGAAGACCTGTATATTTGTGACCAAATTGGTATTAATGTTGAACCAACAATGCCAGCAATGGTGTATTTTTGATTTGGATTTTGCTACTGCTGTTGTGCTGGATGCTTACATACACTGTACTACACATGTGGTTGCAGAAGAACTGTACTGGACATTTCTTTCCTAATGAAGTTACACCGCAAAACCACCTCCACACCAACGCCAAACCAAACAATTCTTGACTATTCAGGAAAATACAATTTTTGTTCGGCCTGTTGCTGTCTAGAGTTGGTCTTGTTGGTGTGACTGAGGTATTAGGAATTGAAACTTCAGAAAGATCTATTGGACACATCAATACAGATTTTTTCCCCCTGTATTTTCCTTTCACCCCCCCCCCCCCCCTTCTTTCCCATTTATGTATTTTGTTGAGCTAGTTGTTTACACAAGGTTCATGTACAGGCAAACTGGTACATTCTTAAATATTATTTAGATGCACTACTCAATTAAATACAAGATTCTTACATGTATGATTAGGCCTAAAATAAAAACTTATTGTATTGCTCTTTTCGACCGACCCAAAAATCTGAAAATCTAAAAAAACGGTTAAAATTTTTTTTTTAACCGTTTTTTTAGATTTGTTTTGATTAATGAATACAAAATATGTATTTTGTTTGTTTAAATGGGATATAAATGCATAAAATCAAATTATTCAAAAATTCTCACTCGTGCGAACCATGGATGATTATGAGGTGAAAAAGATATCAATGGAATGATGACGTTGAAACACATGTATTAAATCATTAAAAACTGAGAAATATCAGCCAAAAGAGGGCGGAAAAAAAAAGAAACAAAAAAAACATTCAAATCTGAAAAATATCGGCCCAAAGAGGACGACAAAAAAAAGTAGAAAAAAAACCTTTCCGACCGACCCACCCATGTTTTGGCACCCAAAGGGCGATATATCAAGTTTTTATTTTAGGTCTTATGGTTATGAGAGTAAATCCAAGAAATGTAGTCATTTGTTGTTCCTAACATTACAAAGTTTGATGAAAAGTAAGCAAAAATATCTTAAATGGAAATCTAACCTTGATAGCAAATTACTCAAGAGGAAAGCAGAAAAAACAAGAAAGTTTTGATTTGTTGAAAGTTTTAATCCCTATAGGTATTGGCTCTTCAAATTGGCCAAATCGGTTATGTCTCTGTGATGTAGTGGCGGACAGCTTTCATATTTGTTTATTGTGTTGTACATTGACTTTTTAAATTGAATAATTTCAGCCTCCCAGCTGCATGTTCTTTTATTGCAACAAACCGATTCAAATTAAATCAAATCAACACACAAAATGATTAAAATGACTCAATTAAAAAAAATGTATATATATATTTAATACTGAGGAGGGTCTTTCCTCATTAGAAAAACTATGTATGTACAATGTACATATAAATGATATGCTATCCAAAATATTCATTTAATAGTGCCCAAAGAAAGATGGCATTTAGGAGAAGAAAATCAAAAGTAAAATTTTTGTAAACACAACGAACGGGAGAGTCATCTGCCACTAAGTTACAATCGACTAACCAAAATGCCAATTTGAGATTTGCACTTCCTTAGTGATCTCATATTTCAACCATTCATAACTTCCTTATTATTGGTCTGATTTATTTCAAACTTTCGCCATTCTGTATCTTATTTTTCGGTTTTCATTATCGTACAAATGAACTTATTTCAAAGGTTAGATTCCATTTAAGTCTTCCCTTATTACTAGGTGAGATACAATCTCAACCAGGCCTGACAATGTTTTAGAATCAATTACAATTTTTTTTTGGAAAGGTGTCTGGAATGAATATTTTCAGTATATGACGATGTGTGCGTGACTGATTACCTTATGTTTCTTTATAAGCTGATATTTACTTTGTAATTATCATAAGAAGTTTCAATTAAGGATGTGCACAACCGTGTAATGAGGTACCCGAGTACACTCACAGGCTTGCAAGCGAATACTCAAATATTTGGACACCACGTTTTTTTAATTTAAATAAAAAGAATTTTTTTTTTTTTTTTTTTACCACCACCATACCACGGGAGCATTATCCCAGGTCCGTCTCCGAAAACTCATGCCATTTTACTTCGAGTTGCAGTTGATGGCGCCGATTTAATAATAATAATAACAGTAAACAATGCTATTTGAAAACCAAAGATGGCAGAATAATCCATCTTCCTCCGAGTCCAAACAGAAATCTGGACATTTGTTCCCAGTTTCTGAGTGGTGAGTTTGACAGTGATTGAGCTGGGAAACATTTTTACCGATGGTACCATGCCGGCGGCAGGCGCTCTCCCTGGCACGGGTAAGCGTCGGCCTGGACAGTGCCAGGTGACCGTTTTTTTTTTTTTTGCGGTGGAATATTAGAGTACGAGAAATCGTACTCGAGTAGTTGTCAACAGTGTGGGTACTCTAGCATTCGACTACTCGTTGCAGCCCTAGTTTCAATACTCGTTGCTGTTGAAAGGCAAGTTTGGAGTAGTCGCCAAAGGAATGCACAGTACACTGCATTAGCTGTAATGAAACAAACCCAAAGAAGTATACATGTACATAATTGTATAAAGATTTCATTCAAAACTAAGCCTGAGTCATTATGGTTTTTTTCTAAACGTTTAACCATTTAATGAATACGGGCGGTTTTGTTTAACCGTTTTAACCGTTCTCAAGTATTTAGTCATTTCGATAAAGACATGTTTTCCACTCTTCGTATTGGCAATGAAGTCCCGCCAATACATGTAGTTATGAATTTAGGAGTTTCGTATCGGCAATGAAGTCTTGCCAATAAATATTGTTTTTAGATCTCCATACGGCAAGGAGGTCTTGCCAATATTACCTTAAACATTACCTTAAAGGGATCCGGTAACTTTGTCTTAGATCCTTTAAAAATAATCCTTGATTTAGCTCATGCTGCGATGATAATTATAAACCTTTAGGTCAGTCAGGAACTTTTTGACTCTGGCTTATTCAAAACCATGAAAACACATCAGAAAGACAACTTCTCAATATTACTGCAAGGAGGTGCTTTAAGAATTCAAAAATTGTCCATGAAATTCAACAGAAA